GTGGCCCCGGCCGAGAGCAGGAGCAGGTCCAGCAGCGCCAGGCAGGGGGCGCCGGGCGGGCAGCGCCAAGGCAAGAGGGCCAGTGCCAGCAGCGCCAGCAGGGCCACCAGGCCGAAGAGCGCGCCTACCCCGTACACGTGGGCCTCCCAGGCCAGCCCCCAGCGAGCCTTGGCCTCTGCCCAGTCGGCCTCCAGGGTCAGGAAGAAGAGGGGCAGCGGGGCCGCAGGAGGCTGCCCCTCGCGTTCAGGCAGTTCTCTGATGCTGCAGGACCCTGGCCCACACTCTGGCTGCACCGAAAGGTTCCCAAGGCTGGCGGGAGAGGGGTCATCCAGGCCAGAGGTGGAGGTGGTGGAGTCTGTGGGCAAAGAACGTTTGTCTGAGGCGGTCGTGCAGCCTTCCGTATGCCCACCCCACAGCCCACAGCCTGTATGCCAGAGAGTCCTCATAGCATCCAGGACGGACTTGTCTTAAACAGGAGACTCACGACCTCCCAGCCCCTCATCTTTCCCTTTCCCATCAAACTCTTCCAGCTGCACCCCTCTTCATTCCCTCACCCCACCCCACCCCCAGCTCTCTGCTTTGTTCATTACCCTGTGATTCCACTGAAAAGAGTTTTTCTCAGGAGGTCACAGAATTTTACACCTGGAAGGAAGTGTAGAAGCCCCCTCTAGTTCAATCCTCCCACCAGGAAGGAGGCTTTGGAAGAATGAGGATTTTTGTTTGCTTTGCTTACATCTGAATATCCATGCCTAAAGTGGTGCCTGACACAGAGTTGGCACTGAGCAGATATTCATTGAATAAATGAATCCTCCTATTTGCCAGATGAAGAAATTGTGGTACTGCTGAGAGGCAAAGTGATTTGTCCACAGTTACAAATTCGCAGAGCTGCAACTCGAATTCAAATCTGAGCACCAGTCTGAGCTCTTTTCCATCAGCCTCTTCCTAATACTAGTTTTCTTATCTCTTGTTCTGCACCCCTGAATCCCAACTCCTACCTTGGTGCTAGAAGAAGTTTCTCCTGCCTTTTTTCAACTGCTTCCCCCTTCTCCCTGTCTCTTCAGGAAAAGCCAGTATGCACACGTGCACACACACACACACACACAATCCCCCTAGCACCCTGAAAAAGCACAGCCTTTCCTATTCACTGGTCTTCCTGCTTGCTACACCCTCAGCCCTCGCCCTACCCATGGCCGTGGTCCCCATTCTGATGCAACCACAAAACCATTGGTCTGAGGCTCTTAATATATATACCCTTTTGGTTCTCAGCCCCCTTTTACAGAAGGTGACATTAAAATGGACTCCCCTGGGAGTCCCTTGAACTCCCAGGAAGGAATAGTTGGGGAGATCATAGTAGGATAAAATGCCATCTTAGCAAGTGAGCCCCTCAGGTGCTCTGGGGTTTGCTAACTTAGGCTCCCAGCCCCATCCTGTGTTCTAACATATTCCCCACATCCCTTGGGAAGGAAAGTCAAGTAAAAGAGTGTGGGACTAAGATCTCTAATTCTTCTCTCCTGTAGCAAGAGAGGAGTGAGAAAGAATTAGACTGAAGGATTTTCCTCATGGCCAGACTGAACCTCCCTACCCCATCTAGCAGGCTCAACAGAACTGCAGCGCAGGCAAGGATGGTGGGGAAAAGACGGCAGTGAAAGATAAGGGGATCCCAGATGTAGAATGAGACAGGGAGAGTCTCCTGACAACCAGATTCTTGCCCCAACTGCCTGGCCAAGTCCAGCCATGTCTCAGCTGGACAAAAGGGGAAGACCCCAGGAGCACAACCCTACCCCAGGCAGTACCAGCTAGTGTTGGGCACATGCAAAACAGAGCAGTCCTGAGAACAACGGAAAGGAGTGAGAGGGCCAGAAAGCATCTCTGGAGAGAGGGGTGGGGAAGGTAGAACTGGGCAACTGGGGAGGGCAGAGAGGGTGCTGCCAAAAAATTACATATATATAGCTCGCTGACTACTGCAAATGGCAGCATGTTCTCTGGTTCCTGTCCCATCACATTCCTCCAGTATGAAATAGGGAAGAGCACTGACTGCATAGGGCTGTTACGAGGATACATAGCTGATGTGTGGAAAGCCCTTTGGAGTGCCTGGTGCGTAATAAACTTCCAATATATGACTGTTGTTATTATCATCGTTATGGGCTAATGTTTATCACTCATCAATCATCAGTGTGTATTTGTGTGTGTGACCATTTCTGGCCTCAAACTAATTCTTGACTTAACTAACACAAGGCCGTTGTCCCTTAGCGCAACCTAAACTTGCTTAGAAAGTCAACAATTAGTCAAATGAGTGAACATCAATGCATTGTCTCCCTCTGTGAACCTTGTTTAAAGAACACCATTTGGATGGACTGACCATCCCTGAACACTTACTGAAGACAAAGCGGTGAATTAAATGAGGAATCATTCAGGTGGGAATGGCTTGCTGTTGTGGGTGGGGGCTGGGGTCAGTCTGACATGAATGGAATCAGATACACACACACACCCTCCCTCACCCCTCATAGTTTGGTCCCCTCAGATGCCCTTGCTCAACCCACTTCTGCAAGATGAATGATTCTCCTTGGTCTTTCTTTGGTTTTAGTGGGCTCTGCAGAGAGGCAGGAAGACCTTGGCCAGGAGCCCACAGCCTGTGTCAGCCTGTGGCCCCTCATACCTCCCCACTACTCACTGTACAGACAAGTACAGCTCTCAGAGGTCTGCTCCAACCAACCCTCTTCCAGCTCCACTCGTCACTCAATGGCCATAGGAAACCCCATCTTTCACCTCTGCCCCAAAGCATTATGGCAACAAGAGTAAATGTCAACATTCCTAAGAAGACAGAAGAATAAAAACCAAAAAATAGGCAAAGTACAACCCCAGCTCAAGTGTCAGCAGAAAGAGTTCTGGCCTAGGAGCACTGCTCCCTGGGGGCAGGGCTGGCCCGGTGTGCCCTGCACTAGGTTGGTGTGGGTCAGGTCAGTCAAAAAGAAGTCCCAGCTTCTGCCTTTGAAGAGTCCCCTTGAGCTCATCCTCTGTCTCTCTATTCAAGGCTTCCTCAGTGGGGGCCCTCAGTTTCCCGTAGAAGATAGTGAGTTCCTAGGATCCCTCTCCTGAGCAGGCCTCCCTTACAAAGTGGTCCCACTCTGGCCCTGTGGTCCCTGTTGACCTCAGGTGCGAGGGAGGAGATGAGATGTCCATGTGAGTAACTGGTGAGGCTGGAGCTGATTGGGGAGGAGTTGGGAAGAGGCCCTGGGTGGATATATGGAAAAGTCAGACCTGATTATCCACTAGCTGCCCAGATCAAAGGGGTGGAGAATCACTCTCTCCTCTGGATGCCGGAAGCTGCAGCCTGCTCAGTGGCCTGGCCCCAACTGTCTCCCCACCCCCACCTACAGGATCACAGAGGACTGATACTCTTTAAGGGTGACATTCAAAATATTTAACCACCATTTTTAGCCATTCAGAACAGCTGCCAGTCAGGTGGTCAGGGAGTGGAGGGGTGCTCAGGGGGATAAGGGCAGTGGATACTCATCAACTGATATGAAAGTCTTTCAATATGTTAACGACCTGCACAACTGTCCCAGTGTGCACTGGGTGAACGCAAGCTCTGTCCAAGGTGAAAGGAACCTAATGTAAAAAAGAGAAGCCCTATGGTAAAAGGTTAACTGCATCCAGCTTAGGAAGTTCCTAGAGAATACACAGAGAGACCCCCTTTATCCTCTACTTGCCACACTACTCCCCACACGGGGTGCTGGTGCAAACAAGGCTTTTGGCCTTCTCTCCAGGAGGTCTGAGGCTCTCCTGGGTTTATCCAAGAGGAACAGCCAGGAAGAGGCTGGGTTCCTGTAGCCATGGTGAGGAGGGGGAAGGAGGGTGGGGCCACCAACTGGCTTGGCTGCCTCTGATACTGTCCAGACTCATTAAACCTGCCTGGCCAGCGCTGTCACCAAGGCTGACAGACCGCCAGGCAGCATCTTTCCCCTGTGGCCACAGAGCCTGCCACTGCCTGGATGGGGAGGGGATGGCGGGCTGGTCTTCCACATGCCTGGGAATACTGTGACCGCTCAGGAGTGAGGGACAGTCAGGTGTTAAGGCTGGAGCTGGGAGAAACTCAGGGACCAGTGGTTTCCACTGCTAAGCCAGTTCCTAATGTGAGGAGGCTGAGAGGATTTCCAGGCCCAGTTAACCCTTTGCATGGCTCCCTTGGCCTCACCTGCCAGAACCTCTGCCAGAGCAGTGTGCCCCCTGCCTGTGGATTACATGTTGTCCCATCACATTTGTGGAGCTAGGGTTGCAGTGTCTGAGAGGTGGGGTCTGGACATGTATTTGGGACTCAGTGGGGGAAGAAGCAAGGTTAACAGCTACTATTTAATGAGACAATGCCTTGTGCCCAGCCTCATGCCAGGAGCTTACATTATCTGGAAGCTTTACAATAATAAAACAGGCACTATTCTTAAACCCTAGATATATGAGAAAATTTAGGCTCAGAGAAGTTAAATAACCTGTCCAAGGTCACCAGTGGATTGGGATTCAAAGTCAAGTCTCAAGATTCTAGAGCCCTTGATCTTTCCTCCGCACCACCCGCTTGTCTCTGTGCATGTTCTGAAAGGCTCCCTTGAACAAAGATGGCGTCTGTCTGCTCAAGGTCTCCTCTTCAACGTCTTCCCAATGAGGAGCCCAGCTCTGTCCATATCTGACAGCATGTCACGTCAGATCAGATGGCAAAGCAGAGAGCCCCAAGGTTGGAGTGGGAGGGTGGGGAGGCAGGCCAGGCAGACTGGAGCGCAGGGTGGGGTTAGTGCTGAGGCTGTGGAAATCATGAAGGAGTTCCTGTGTCTGTTTGCCCCTGATACATCTGTCTACATCCTGCTCTGCCTATGATTGCAAAACTCCAGAGGACCATTACTTAACTCTGTGTGGGACCGTGCCCAGCAACACTTGTTCTCAGACCATTAGTACATATCTCCATGGTAATGATGAAGAGAATGGTGATCATGATTATGACGGCAATGAAATAGGAGGATCCCAGAATGCCCATGAGTGGCTAGCATGTAGAAAGTGCTCAATAAATAACTGTTAAGTTCAAATAAATTGGACACTTACCTAGAGAGGCTGTTGCAGTTGAGGCAGGGCTTAGGGAAGCAGCTGCGTCCAGTGGCCTTGGACTTGGGGGCTTTCTCTCCAGGGGGGATGGGGGCGGGGACAGAGTGGTGCCAAAGAACCCTGCAAATGGAGCACATAGGACTCGAGTACCAAGCTATCAGCCAGCCTTGGCCTCTGGGGCTTTGGAGAAAACCCTATCCTTTCCCAGAGCTTGACCTAAGGGAACCACTGTCCCCGGAATTGTAGCCACATACACTCCAGAAGCAAAGCTACAAGGACCAAACCAGACTCAGTATGGCAAAGAGGGCATTTCTCCATGGGAGCAGTCACTAGTGTCCCAGAGCCTGGGAGAAGCAGTGCAAGCCACCCTTGGGTCACGGGGGAAAGGGAGATGCTGGTTAGGCCCCTAGCACAGCACCAGGCATATAGAGGTGTTCCATAAATGTTTGTTGCAGTGAAATAAACACTCACCTGGAGAATCCGAAACTCTGGAGGCAGAGCTTGGGGATGTAATTGGGCTTGGGGTGCTTGGGCCTGATAAGTTCCGGAGAGGGGACAGGGTAGTGCCAAAGAACCCTGCAAAAGGAGCCAGGCTGAAGCTCCGTCCTACCTGCCAGACTGCCCAGCATGGGTTCTCCTTGGGATGGGGTGGGTACTCACCAAAGGGTCCCAGGCGCCCAGCAATCTCTGCCAGGCTGGCCCGCAGGCTGGGCAGCAGGGGCAGCGTTCGATGCCCGAGCGTGGGGGCTGCACCTGCTCTCAGCGCCATGTCAAACTTCAGCTCCAGCTCGCTCTGGTGGAGTCTGGGAGCACTGGATGGAGGTGCTATAGCTGTCAGAGCAGTATCCCAGGTCACAGTGCCCATCCTGGGCTGATAGGGAGCAGTGGGCCGGTCAGTGGGTCCAGAGAGGAGGGATGTGGACTCCAGAGGCAGGGAGGAGGACCAGGGGGTAGAGCTGCCTTCAGCAGAGCCCCACTCTGGGGGGGAGTTGCTAAGAGAGCCCACCAGCAGTTCCCAAAAGGGGTCAGTCCTCAGTCCACTGTCCACCTCTTCCTCTGGCTCCCGGCTCGGTCCGGGAGAAAGTGCCTGGGTCTCTGTGACAGGGCTCCCCCAAGCAGCAGCAGGTCCCCAAAGGTGGAATTTGAAGTTAAGTCCCAGGTTTAGAGACAGCATAGAGGCCTCACTCTGAGGTGGTGGGGTCAGAGTGGTGAGATGGGCACCTGGGACAGAGGAGGCAGGCTGGGGGCCCACGGGAACTGCAAGCAGGACCCAGCAGAACAGCCCCAGCCCCAGACAGCCATACCCTGCCATGGCCCCTCCTGGCCCCTGGTGGCCTGGGTGGGCCAGGGGCTCAGTTCTTCAGCACTTTTGATCACGAAGGTCCTGGAGAGAGGAGAGGGCCAGCTATGAGTGCTGGCTGCCTGGGATCTGATGCCCCAGAGAGAGGCTTCTGATCCCAGAGAAGAGAGTGGTGGAGGCAGGACACAAACGGTCCTGCTCAAGGAGAGTTGCCAGCTCCTTCCTGTACTTTCAGGCTGTAGCACAAATCTCTCCCCTGCAGTTTCCCTTCTCTTCCAGCCAAGGCGCCTCCTTAAGCCCCTGCCACCCCCACCTGCTTAATCTGGAGACAGGGGTCTGACTGCATCCAGCTGCCCCCATCCTTGACTGATAACCAAGGGGGTGGACTTGACTCACAGACTCAGATTCCTTTCCTCCCTCTCTCCTCTCTATCCTCCCTTCCACCCTCAAATATTTGTTGAGGCCTACTGTGTGCCAACCACCCTCCAGTAATACAACTGTGAACAAGTTGGATGAGTCCCACACCAGCTCCAGCCCCACTCTGAGAGGCCGGCCCACTCACTCAGACCCCCGGAGCACTGGGATAAAGCACAGGGCTGAGTGATCTGGCAGAGATGGAGAAGGCAGCCCTGGAAAGCAGGGTGCCTTGGTCTGGCAGCTCTGTTCCTTCAGCCTTTCCCCTCCTTCCTGGGGCTTGGCCTGCTCCCCATCCCCTAACCCTAGAAGTATTGGGGGGAGGGGCAGCCTGGCCACCTCTAGCTTCCGGGGAAGATGGCCAGGCAGGCGAACTGGACAAGAGGCTGCTGCAGTAGACTCCTAACCTCCCCCCCACAAAACCCGCAAACACACATCTGGTAGGGGAAGCCAGGGACACACGTGCACCTAGCACCCTTACATCACACACACAGCCACATTTAGCACCCGTGACACACACTCATCTACTCACCCTTCACACACCCCTGCATGTAAGTGCAGACACATACTCAATTCATCCTGCTGAGCTCCCCTCCCTCTTACATGGGTTCAGACCCAAGCTCTGTGAGCTCCCAGCCTCCCCTGTCACATACACATGTGTGTGTACACAAGACACACACACATGCACACACTTACCCACACACACAACATATAGACACACACAGGCACACACCCCCCTACACCACATTCACACGCTCCTTACAGACACATATCACACACCGTCACACACACACACCCCCAACACACATGCACATTCCTACACACCCATCCACCCCTGCAGGCAGGCGCGCTCACCGCGCGCGCACTCACACACACACACACACACCCCTCCCGCTACCCGTGCCCTGACGGCCGACCTGCTCCTCTGGCTTCCTCCCGCAGGCGGGTCTCCTCAGCCAAGTCCCCCGAGAAGGGGCGATCGCGGCGGCCCAGGCGCCCCGCTGGGCAACGCTCC